CCACTGGAGCGCATCTCCCTCCAGATAAAACGATGCCAGATAGGCCTTCCTCTCCTCCGGAACCGGATGGTTTTTAAACCACCTCTCCACTGCATACAACCAAAGACCTGTATCCTCTTGCCCATTGAATTTGGGAAACTCAATGGTCGGAGGTTTAGCTCAAAAAACTACTCCATCCATTCCCTCATAATTCATGTAGTGGGACCCATACCTGTCATTCCCTGGAGTCCTCCAAGGCTGCCCAAAAGAAGAGCCCAGCATCCGGTTCGGATTCTTCTGGCCATAGTCACCCGGATAGTTGCCCTGCAGGTTCGGGTACCCTCCTGGCGCGTGAGGCGCCCCGTACGGAACCTCCCAGCTGGCTGGTTCCCGGTAGTCCACCCTCCTGTACTGCTGGGCCGTCGGACTCGGGCGATGCCCGGTTCGACCTACTTCCGGTCGACCCATCCCGGTCCGGTTCGGCTCACCTCGGTTCGGTCAGCGTCGGCCCGACCCATCCCGGCTCAACCGGTCTCGGTCCGGCCCCCTTCGATCCGCCCCATGAGGGCCGCCCCTGGCCGCCCAACCGGTTCTGCTGTCCTCCTCGGCCCATTCGGCCCCCTCTGGTCCACCTCCGGTTCAGCCCACTTGGCCTGTCGGTCCGTCAGGCTAAGTTCGTCACACTCGGGCCCATCCTCCAGATCCAACCACCCCAGCCCGTTATGGATCTTCGTGTAGTGGCCCATCAGCTCCGGCCCACTGTTCATAGGAGGCCCGTCTATGTCATAACCGGCCATCTTGGCCTTCCCTTTCCGGGCCGCAATCTCTTGGGCCGTAGGCGTCGGTAGCAGACCCGGGCCCTCACCTAGCCCTACCTGCGTTGGGCCTGTCCCCGCTCCGCCTCCGCAGGTTCCCGGCCCGCTCTCGGCCGTCGTCCGCCCCACCGGTGCCTTCTCCGCCGCCTCGAGCCCCGCGCCTGGACCGGCTGCCACCGCCCCCGGCGCCGCCACTCCTCCTTCGGCGGCCGCGCCGCCTCCGCCTGCCGCTAGGGGTGGGCAATGGACGGGTTGGGTGAATTTTGGTCTAAAATTAACCCACCTGCTTACTAGCGGGTTGGAATATATGTGACCCGCAATCCACCCACATACTTATGTGGGTTGGGTTGGGTGGGTGGCGGATGGGTGTGGTTGGGTGGCGGGTTAATCCGCAAAAGCAATTTTCCAACTAGCCGTTAAGAAAATTGATTAACATTTATAATAAGTTCATAGTAAATTAGTAAGATTGTATCAATAATTTGTGATTTTGATATAATTAATAATTTATAGTTTGTATCCCAATATTTAATGGATATTAACAATAATTTGCATACCAATATCCATTGCCAATAGATATTGCACAACACAATAACCAATAATACTATAATAGTAGTCAAAACTATTCTTTATTGTAAAACCCTTACTTTATATTACAAAACGAAACAGTAAAATACATCGAGTTTAAACATTCTCGGGCCCGAGCTTTACATATATATATTTGTTTTAAACTTCAAACCATAATATACATTTCCTTCAGAGTCAAAATAGAAACCGGGGAAGTCCGCTTTATTACAAAATTCACACAACATAAAACATTTAAGGAGTTCGGAGTCCTCCGCCCACCTCATGGCTTCCCTTCACGCTTGAGTCCCGATATCTACAGTACAGACCTTACTTCTGATCTTGATCTGAGGAAAAGTGATGACGAAGGATGAGTCGTCGCTCAGTGAATAAATTCTAAGCTCGGGTCGACATCAATACAAAAACAGTATTGGGCAGAAACACCCTAGCACATAACAGGACTTAAATTGTTTTATCACACTTTTCATTTTACTGAATCAATCAAGTTCCCATATTCACAACTCATCACAGTCAAACACATACAACGTGTGATAGATAGAGGCATTTTCCATATACAATTTCACTTTCAAATTTGCTAAATGATATACTCCTCGGGTTGTACAGTAGTTGAAGGCTGCAGGATAACCATGTACAGCCATCAGTTAACTGGAGTACCGCAGGACAAAACCCCATCCGGTACGAACAGGAGTGCACAAGGCACGAAACAGGAGTGCTCAAGGCACAAAACAGGAGTGCTCGCACCAACAGGAATATCGCGGGACACAACCCGGACCGATACAAAAACAAGAGTCGCCACGGGATTACCCCAGCCCGGCTAACTGAACAGAACAGGAGTACCGTGGGTCGTCACCCAATCGGCACGGTGCGAAGCACGAGCGCTCAAACAGGAGTATCGTGGGGTTTACCCACATCGATACAGACAGGACACACTACTGTACCGAGGTATCATAAAACCTTTTTACTTATTCTTAAGTATTCACCTCTTTTCATTAATAGTGCACTTAGACACTATAGGCTCAAAAGCATTCATAGTGCTTTTGTACCCTCAGTCACAACAGAATGGAATGTAAGCTGAGGAGCTTACTCCGAGTTATTCAAGCAGAACAGGATTAGTAAGCCTAATGGCTTACTCCAAATCTAAACAGACAAGACGGGTTCGCAAGTTCGAATACTTGCTCATAATCCGCACAATAAATCAACAGAATGTCTTTCCATATCTCATTCACAATTCATGCATTTCCAACTTCATACCAAATGCAGATAATGAATAAACACAAATAAGCCAGATCACATAGCAATATCATTTCCCATAAATTCCCATATTATACCGGAGCCTCTTCATGACCCCGATATGTATTCGGGCCACTTCATGACCCGGATACTGTGATTATGTTGAAGTAGATCTAAGATTAGAATCTACTCACAGCTTTGTCTTCACTCGGCTATGCCCTTGCCTTTGGATGAGCCCCCGGCTTGATCCTTACCTTTATGTACAAGATTTCCAGGTTATTCAAGCACCAAGACACGTATACAATCATCATAATCATGGTTATATTCATGCATGTCAATAAGACCACAAGGGAAGTCATACGATTGTACACTTTACCATGCTTCCTCATTTTGATCATTTCTCCCTTGATACTTAACCAAATCCGTTGATTCTCGTTGCTACTGAAACTAGATTCATAGGGATACAACATATCCAAATTTCAGACCATTTGGATCAACCTTTTAATCCCAGCAATCATTTTAACTTGACATTTCAAAACTGTCAACAACTTTCTTTCACTTTAAAACCAACTCTCCTTCTTCTAACAATTGTTCCTGACCACTCCGACATCAAAACTACATTCTGAACGGTCAATTCGAAGAACCACCTATACTTAACCTCATACCAAATTTCTAGAACGATCCAACGACGGATTCGCACAGGATCTTACCCCTTCTGTCCAGCGACTTTCCTCGATGAACCAGAGATCATATCGATGATCCCAACGATCAAATCGTAGCCAAAGAAGTATGAAACCCAACCTACAAATCTCAGGACGATCCAACGGTTTGATTGTCCGGAATCGTCCTTCTCACAGGCTGTCTCGCTGCTGGACGGAAATTGGCAGCACCCCCTTTGCCTCCTTCTTCTTCCTCTTCCTCTCCTTGATATGCTTTTCTTTCTAGCTTTCACTCTTTGTTTCTGAAAGGGGGTGGTGGTTTTTGAGGTGGTGAAACCAGGTGAAAGGAAGAGAGCAAGAGAGAGACGTGGGAGAGAGTGAGGGGAAGGGATGAGAAGGAAATGAGAGATAAGAGGATGGGCAGATTTTTATCTCCCTTATCTAGAATTCTCCATCCCTCCAAATTGTCTATTTGGCACTAAACTTTCCTTCACTTGCAATTAAGTCTAGCACTTCCACTATTCACTTTCTTTTTGGTTCAAAAGACTAATTTTTGTAACCCAATCACAACCACGTAATTATAACGTAATACTAGTACGAGGGCAGGGATGTTACATTTATTCTCCACCTTTTGCAGTATATGGTCAGACTGTAGTGCAGTTCGAAAATATGATTAATATTCGATACTATAAGAAACAACATTTTTCCATGTAAAAATAGGATGCGGGTCATACGGGTGAGAGATTTAACAATCCGCAATCCACCCACATCAATCACCCATTACATGCGAGTCGGGTTATTTACGAGTGAATCGATCAATCCGCGGATTAACCACCCACGTGCCCACCCCTACCTGCCGCGGCCTCCGCCGCCGGATCCGCCCGTCGCGGCGACCGCCAGCGAGCCCGTGCCTCCGGTGGTGCCGCCGCCGCCTCCTCCTGCTCGCCCCAGGTCCTCCGCCACCATTGCCTTCAGCTCACCAATAGCGAGCCACATCCTCTGCGACTCCGCCTCCCGGGCTCGCGCTTCCGTCTCCTGAGCTCGTTCGCCCTTCAGTCGGGACCGCCGCTCCTGCTCCATGGCCTCCGCCATTTTGGTCATCTCAGCGCGGAGCTCTTCTCCCAGCGTCTCATCCACCATCTCTCCATCCCGCGGAACCGGGACCTCATTACCGCCCTCACCAGCCGTCGGCAGTCCCGACGTGGCACCGATCGCGGCTTTTTCCTGCGCCGCCGCCTTGGCGGCCTTCTTAGCTGCTTGCATCGATTTCGTCGACACCATCGCGCTCGTCGTTATTCGTTTGCTCCGGAACCAAGAAAGAACGGGGCTCTGATACCAAATGATAGAAACCTAAAATTAGGTTCTATCGGGTTGTGAGGGATTCAAGAGTATCAATCACCAAAGTTGTGATTAGGGTGGGATTAGGGTGAAATTGGGGTGGGACAGAGGAGTTGGAAATTGAGGGAAGGGGAAGAGATAGGCTGCTGTCGCAGCAGAGGAAGAGAGGAGGGAAGAGTTGGTCGGCCGAGAGAGAGAAGAAGATAGAGGAAATTGAGGGAATTAGGTTTTAGGTTTAATTCTTGTTTAACCCTAATTTTAACTTACAATAGTTTATATAGAAATGACTAATTTCCTACTACTACCCAATCTATCAATTATTCCCGAATAGTTCTCATAGTCCGAATAATAATAAACCGACAATTAATCAAGTACTAAAATATAAGTTTCTATCACTCTATATTATGTTGTCATCCCATGCCTGCAAATTTAGTATTGATCCAGGCAGCATCATTAGCACATTAATCAAGCTTAGGGCTCAAATCGAAACGTTGCTGCAAGGGAACTCACATGGTGGAGAACAGTCTTCGTTTTGTACCAATGAATGTTAATGGTGTTGCCTCCTTTATCTGAAGTGAATCCAACATGAAGCGGCTGCAGAGGAAAACAAAAACCCACAAATATACTAAACCCATAATGAAACAAACAAAAAAAATCAAGCAGTAAGAAGGTGAAAAGAGTGGATTTTTTTGTTACCTGGTGGATATCTCCCATGAGATGGGAAAGGAAGAGAAGGGCCTCTGTCAGGCGAATGAGTTAGCATGATTACTCTTTTTTGAGTAACTACTGTGGCTATCTTCTTTTTGGCCATTAAAATTTGGTGGATCCAATCCAAGGATCAATCTTGTTGAAGGGTATTTTTGGGAGCGACTCAGAGGATCATTTCACTTGACGTCATTATTAGGGCCCTAAATCAGTGGTGTCTTTCCCTATTTCACTCTTCTCCTTCTTTTTCGATTTTCCTTATCAGCCGCTCCCAAGAAGCCTTCCCCGGTGAGCAGAAGCTTCTCCAGCGCGCCCCTCGCAATTCTCGTCCTCTCCCCCGTTGAGTAGTTTGTGGTGGGCGACGTCTACTTTCTCTCCGGCGGCGCTGTCATTCTTTCCCGGCCGGCGACTAGTTTGTTTCTAGGTTGGTGAATCAGCGAGGGTTGCGCCCACTCTCTTTTGATTCCCAGTTCCTCCCACTCCGACAGAACACTGCGCGTCGGCGAGGTTGATTTCAGCTCCTCTAGCGTCTCCCTCTCGTTTCCCAACACAGTCTATTGGTCATGAGATTTGTATGCATTGGTAGTGATATACCATTTTGGTAGTTATCTATGCACATTGGCGGTGATCTTGCAATGGTAGTGATCTTTTGGTGGATTGGTATGTTATTTGATATTGCAATGGAAGTGGTCAAGATGAGTTAAACTGTTATTTTGAAGAGAGGTTTCAAGAAATGGCAGATCTATTCACTCTATTAATAACCGAGCCGGATCTGGTGTATCATAAGGGATTTGCCTTTTTTATTGATTCCTACGGATTGGATAAAAAACAATTCTTGAATGAGGTATTCAACTCCTTGGATGAATCGATCTTGCAATGGTAGTGATCTTTTGGTGGATTGGTATGTTATTTGATCCTGCAATGGTAGTGGTCAAGATGGGTTGCACTGTTATTCGATCTTGGAATAGTATGTGTGCGCGTTTTTGGTGAGACTGACATGCATTGGTAGTCATCGTTTTGGTAGTTATCTGACCACATTGGCAGTGGCGGACCCAGAAATTTTTCATAGGGGTGTCGTCTTTTAAAAAATAAATTAAATAAAAATAAAAATAATTGATAAAAATAAAATTGTAAATATGAAAATACCTTACTCGTTAGGTTAAAAAAAGTCCATGATATGTTTTCACATTCGGAAATAATTGTAGAATACACTTGGTGTCTATAGTGTTAAAAAAATTGTCTCTATATACACTGCTAGCTAGACAATCCATTCACGAACTTATCGCATATTCGATTTGTAAACTTGTTCTTGATGTAACCCAAAACTGAAAGACTATTTCAACACTTGCCGTACAATCATAAAATCAATACAAATTAAGGGTAGTTTGTTAGGTTTTTAAAATAATTAGAGATAGGGAATGCCATTTTACTATTACACATTGTTCAAAATCGAACAACAAATGAGTTTAGCTCAACAGAAATTAAGTTTATTAATAATAATAGTGTTCTACATTTGAATTTTCCAACCTACCACTTGTATTCCTATACACAAATGACAGTAGGATAATCATTTTTTCAAATTTAAGGGGTGTCCTTTAATATCAATTATATTTTTTTGTCCATACGTAACTTACCACCGGGGGTTGGATAATCGTTTTCCCAAAATTTAGGGGTGTCCGGGGACACCCCTAAACCTCCCTGGGTCCGCCCCTGCACATTGGTAGTGATCTACCGTGTGGAATGGTAGTGTTCATTGTTATATGTGTAATAGTATTGTTCTAGTTTTGTGTCAGAAACGCATTGCTTTGTCTGTTGTGGTATTGATTCCCTTTTCTTCCTTTTATCTTGGTCTCGCAGAACCATATGGTAGTTTAATTGTCTAATAATGACTTTCCGTAATTATATCTCCCCAATCATACACGTAATTATTATGGTAGTTGTAACACCCCACCCTAAAACTCATAGGTTGAACCAATGGTTCACCCGCACAACGGAATCTCTATCGGGGGTTACGCTAAAACTCAACTCTCTACCATTGGTAAAACATACTCAATTTATTTTTGTCCAACATCCACAACAATCCATTCTGAAATTACTCATCATATACAAAAGATCAACTTAATCTATAGTTCATTTATTTCACTTAAACCAAATTAGAGTGTCATTCACTACTATGCTCATTACATTACTATCTACTATGCAATACCCAAATCATCGACTCATAAAACATAAATGAAAGTTATTTCAAAATCTGGGAAAACTTCAAAATCGAGCCTCCATCGATCATTGTGCAGTGCCAGAGTTTCTCTCAATTCAATCGAACCTGTAAGAAACTGAACAGAAGTGGGTCAGCAACTAAGCTGTGTGCGTGGATCTTTCCCACGACCTAGTTTTGGGACCGCAATCAGCTAATCAATCAGTCGTAATCAATCATAATTCAGTACTCTAGATACCATCTTAATTCATCATATATAAATTACCGATCAAATTATCGAATCCACCAACTCACCATCACCGAATCAATTTATCCAATAGGATAATCACATAATTTCACGAACACATAATCAATGCATGATATGAAAATTCCGGTTAATTATTAATGGCGCCAAGGTCACCATACACTTACCCCCACTCGAGCAAATCATCCGTGGTGCTCATGCAACCACAACACTCGCAGAAGCGAGCTAAGTCTACCCAATCCCATAATCATCTGGGGGTAAAAGTGCAGGCCCTTTCTACGTCTATGTGAATTAATATGATCACGAATCAAACAATTCCATTTCTCTCATCCATCACCGGAATCAATGCAGTCCCACTGATTAACCGGTCCATGCATAATCAATCCAGAATCAGTGCAGTCCCACTGATTAACTGGTCCATGCATATCTCACGTCAAACATTTCATCAAACCAATTTAGGAATCAATGCATTCCCATTGAGTTCCCAATCCAAATGGATCTCATGTTTCTCATCTCATCAACTCATCATCATCTCAATCAATCCAGGAATCAATGTCATCCCACTAATTTCCAATCCATACGTATCTCATGTCGATTATCAACTCGACATTTCTCAAAATCAGTTATTCCACCATCCAATCTCAAATCAAGATTCCAATCACCATTTTCAATTCATACAGTTCACAACTTCACATAAATTTACTCATACCAACATTTTCCAATACTCACACAATTTCCTAACTTCAATTATCACTCAAACATTTATATCATCCAAAATCATGTAATCAGTAACGATTATTAATCATTTATTCAACAACTAATCACATTTCATCATCACATAAATCATTAGTACAAAACCTACTCTGTTCATCCCTTTACAAAACTCATTCAAATCAATTCCATGTCATAGCTCAAAACCCAAAATCTACCACACAGTTTTCCAAGATAATTCCAACACAGTTTACCGAGATAAACCCGTTTTGCGGGTAAGACGTTATCATCTCTAAATTCATTTTCCCCATCACCATTCATCTTGTAATTCATGAAGGTGAATTAATTAAGAGAAAATGTCAAATCAAATCCATGTTTGTTCATAAAAAGTAATTTAGACAATATTATCCCAAAAATCTCGTATTAATTGTAGTTTTACGATAACTCAAATTCCAATCAAGCGGTAACTCCAAAAATCTCCCAAAAATACCAGAACATCCATTTATCATCCTAAAATAGGTCTGTCTAGTTTTTTATATTTTTTTCAACATCTCAAAAACAAGAAAATAATATTACACCCGATATTTACCGCAAATCTCGTATTAAGCTCGTTTTTACCATTTTAAAGATAAAAACTTCACCAACCATCTAATTTACCCTTTTCAGACCACAACCCATTTAACAATCCATACTGACCATTTTGAAGTGATCCAAATCTTAAAGATAAGTAAAACACGTTTTTACCGAGCTTTTCGTAAAATTCACCGTTATGCAGTTTTTAATCCGCAAACCATTTTCAAGTGAAACCTTCTGCTCAATCTGCTCCAACATCATTATAGACAAACAAAAATCTCTTAGATCAGTTTTAGACTCAACAAACCCAACTATTCATTTTTACGGGGAAACTCGTCAAATACCGATATTTACACCGTAAAATCCTAACAATCAAGAATAATCACCAAATCATCATATCAACAAATAATTCATCACCCACAGTAATCCATCCATCCAAATATGCAAATCAAGCATAAATAATTGATGCAGTAATTAAGGTCCTCTTAATCCCCACACACCTTAATTTAGCCGATTCCAAGTCGGGAATTAAGTTCTAAAATTCCAGAGATTGACTCTATAAAATTCTCCTCGTTCCCACGGTCGTGTAGGCGCAAACGGTTCATCGTTTGGACGTCAAACGAAGAAACTGCGAGCCGATTAAGATTAGTAAGGAAAATTACCGAATAGTACCTTATATTTTCGAACTGTCAGACACAGCTCTGGAACTTAAAATCGTACAATTTTATGAACAAACTTTCGAACCTCGTTTCTCCCTCGTTTGAGCTCGGAATTCGATTCCGTTGACTCCGTGATGATCATGGAGACGAGCTCTACGCATCGGTACTAAGTTTCGGAATTATCGTCGCAGTTGGCGATGCCGACGTCGACGTCGGGATTATTCCGATGAAGCTCCGATAACTTCTATGGACGATTCTACAATCGTGGGGTCGTTTCTGGGAGTTCTCTGACTATCCCTTGATCCCTGAGAGGCTATAGCTCGACCTATTTCCTAATCTTTCTTCCCCTCTCTCTTTCTTTCTTTTCGTCTAACTCCGAAAGAACCAAAAGAAGCGATGAAGAGGAAGGAACTTTAAACTTCAGTTCAGCCTCCCTCTTTCTTACTCACATCAGCTGCAGCAACAATAAATCCTCGTTGAAAGCCGCCTTCTAACTTGCAGGTGCATTGGAAAGAAGGAAACCTATTTCCAACGTCGGGCGCCGCTTGAACGTGAAGCCCAGCTTAGTAACGTGGAAGCTGCTGCTTCTTCCATTGATACGGCGACGTGTGACTAAGGCCGGCTGCCTCATACAGCAGAGACGTCAAAACAAGTTATAAGAAAACGGGTTTAATTCTTGTACACAAAATTAGGCGTAGTTTAGCGGCTAAGTTGCTTGTCTTAGCTCTGGTTATATGTAGCAGGTTAGTGGTTCGAATCTTGCTATTGATTTTTTTTTTTAATTTTCCTGATATATTTTTCAAATGTACACTCGTATCTAACAACCAATTATTATTGTTTTCCCGCAACATCTACTCTCGTCAACGACGTAAACTTCACGATATGAGGTCTCGTTAAAAAATCTGTAGAGGAATTTTATTTTCCCCTTTCAAATTTATTCTATTTTGTTTAATCTGGTTGGGATGTTACAGTAGTTATGATTATAATAAAAGCAAAATACCATTTGTATCCCTAGTAGCCACGGTGATTACTAATACTAAGTAATCACCATAACCTCTCCCCTCTGTCAGGTTATCTGATGTCATTACAAAACCACCCCACAGAATCATATTACAATGCAGCAGTAAATTAAAGGAATTCAATAAAAAAGGAAGTAAATTTCTTTTTACAGCCAGATTTGGAGGACTGATCAGATTTGTAAGTAAGCAGCTGGGTAGTGTAATTTTGGATAGCCCCATCAACACACCTCCCCTTCTCCCCCTTCTCATCCTTGCAGTCCCCTGTTTCCCAAAAAACCCACCCCAATTAAAATCGATCGATTCGGTCGAAACAAAACGGTTCAATTCGGTTCCGGTTAGTTGCTTACTATTGTAGCTGTAACTAAAGAGTTTGTCAGGATTGTCAATGTAATGAAGAGCAGAGGACCAATGATACTTGAACTTGACCTTGTCTGCCCACGAACACAGACTAGCCAAGTCCTCTGCATCTTCAGGCAACAGGGATTAATTCCCTAAATACAGTAATAATTAAAACTAATTCCCACAATACATAACTTTTATAAAAAATTCCCAAACTACCAAAGTTTGACATGGATTGAGTTTAACAAACTCGAACTAGTGGTTGTTCGACTGACAAAACAACGATCCACGTGCATCGAGGATAAAGCACTCGAACAGCAAGAAGTGGATCGATGAGATGGCCAGCGCTCCACCATAGATCGATGACGTCAAAGGCGAACACCGTATATCGAGGACCCTAAACTCGATCTGGGTCGTTCGATGCACCTGACCCCGATCTACTTTTGACGCGGATCGAGTGCCCCGAAATCGATGCACTGGTTCGAGTTTTGTAAACTCGATCCACTCTCCCACTGCACCTATAAATACCCCCTTCCATTCCACCAAATCTCACACCACTCCATTCTTCTTCCTCTCTTCCTCCCACCACTCTTGAAGAAAAAAATATGCTCTGTGGGTTGGAAATCTGTTCTCTGCAATAAATCTCACCATCATATTAATGTCATCATCGTCAGACAAAACTGATCCTTCATATACAAGTGCATAATCCTTGTAAACCGGCATACGGTAAGTCATCTTGCATACTCTTCGCCCTCCCATGCAACATCGTTCCGCACAAATATGGCTGAGTTCTTGCCAAGTAAATATGCTCTCAATCCAGACAGTACTTGATTCACCATCTTCATAGTCAATACTATCATGAAAATGTGTAATTCGACCATTCTACCGAATCAATAAGTCGAATTTTCGAAATTTTCTACCCATTTCTGCAGTTTATAGAAACAGCTCATTACATACAGTACAACCAATACTAACTTAATCCAAAATTCTAATATGCTCATTCAAACAACGTAAGCAGAACTAACTTACCTCCAAAAATTTTCTTCTTTGCTCAGCTATGGTGCTCCAGCTGCTGCAGTTTGTGTTTGGAAGAAAGAAGATAGAAGAAAGTATAAGAGCTGCCAGAATGTGTGCTTGCTTTTTATCTTCGTAAATTGGTGCACTGGTTCGAGCCCAAAGAACTCGAACTAGGGTAGATCGAGTCCTAAAAACTCGATCCAGTGCAAACAATAATTTTCCTCCTGCACCCTATTCTGGAGCATGTCGGGCCGAAAGTGACGGGACATAAGGATTGAGAAGTGGTTCGAGTCCATAGAACTCGATCTCGCCTAGTTCGAGTTCTTAAAACTCGATCTACTACAACAAAAAAATCTTATCCCTGTAACCCTATCCTGAAGCATGTCGGGGAATAATTGAGTAATGGTTCGAGGCCGGCGGAATCGATTTTAGTAGTTCGAGTTTTAACTCATCGATCTGGGGCAGAAATGGATCGATACTTTTAAAGACGATGTATGGGATCGAGTTTTTGGGCATCGATCTACTAGTTCGAGTTGTTTAAACTCGATCAATATATGCATCGAGTTACTTGTGATCGATCTGCCTTGATCGATGGTTCATAAATCGATGTACAGCTGATCGAGTTTGAGTAAGTCGATGTGATGGTAGATGGAGTGCTTATTCGTCGATCCACATAGTAGTTCGAGTTTTTGGAACTCGAACCCTTCGAAACTTGGGTATTTTGGAAAATTTTATAAATCTTATGTATTATGGGAATTATGTTTAATTTATGCTGTATTCTGGGAATTAATCCAGGCAACAGCTGCTTCACGGCGGGCGCTGCAGCGTCGCTCAGGCGAGGCTGTCGCGCCAAATTAAAAATATAAATCCAGAACAGGGGAATCAGAGAACTGTCTGACCGTTAAAACAGAGGTTTTCTGTGCATTAAAGAGGAAATCGATCATTCCGGCATAATGAATGAAAAAAAGGAATATAATCGCTTTGGAGACAGTGGACAGATGGTTAGCTGCTAGCCTTCTACTATGGCTCGGAGTGATTTGATCAATGACCGATTATGGAGAAGTTTGCCTAGCTGTGTTCATACTCGGTGGTACAGTTAGGTTTGACTACAAAAGGCAGGGTATCAATAAATAATACGAGAAAATAGTCTATTGCCTTCCAGATCAACTGATTATCATATTAGTGTTTAATATCTTGGTTTCGACTAAAGGTCGTGTAATTTTGGACGATTAATTTGGGGAAATGATGGTCACTGATTAAATCAGGTGATTCAATGACAGGATAAATGGATCAAAGTGCAGAAAATCGTGGGATATGGAATGAGGGATTCCAGATTGGATGTTTACGAGACTGAAGGTCGTTTCCTACTTGCGATTCTTATAATTCATGTATTATTTGAATGCACAGAACCAATATGCATAATGTTTGTATTCCTTCATTTCGTTCTTACTTCAATTCAAAAGTCAACCATCTATCTTGATCATGTCTTTTTCTATGGGTCATTGTCCTCAACAAAGTACTTATAAATTTTTCGAAACAACTAAACAGGTACTTTGTGTCTCGCTGTATTATCGCGGGATGAAAACACCTTTCGTGGCTTTGTCACTAACATTTCTACATATCAGCTCACAAGTCACCATAGAGACTCCTAGGCTCACTGTCCAAGCCCATTTATTAGTTTTATTCCTCTTCGACCAGCGGTCCTCTACTCGCGCGCGACTTCGACAGTGCAAATCTATCTACACAATATATTATGCACTTCACTCTATGTCATTGTTGCCACCTTACACTTTGATTGGCTCTCCTTATTTGGTGGAATGACAACTTTGACAATTTTGAATTTTTCAAACACTCAAGGGTCACTCATTATTATTGGACTTTTGGTTTTCTTTTTAGTAAATGCGATTAGTATTAAGGGAAAAGAAGATTTGTTTTAAGGTAAATGCTACATAATAATTATTTGAATTTTGCTGTGTGTAGATTTATTTTGTGTGGTTAAGGAAAAAACAGAGGCTACTCTAAAGTTGTTTAACTCCTAAATGAGACAATGCTTGCGAATTGGATTTTGAGATGATAAAGATGATATATCGTTGTGGCGTGGATGTTTGGGAAGAGGTTCCTTCTGAATAGTTTTTTTCGCATTAGGGTTTTACGTTAAACAAATAAACCAAGCATCAACCTTCGAAAGTTTTAGAATCTTTAATTTCATAGTGTTCAATATCTCAAGGCATGAATATAAGGGTCGTTTGGAAGTTGCGAATGTTAAATCGTTGCATTATAATGAATCACCATAATATAAATGCATGTATTGATACAATGGATGCATTTTAACAATACATTGTTTGGTTGTTGAGATTCTACTTTATGCATTAATTTACATAAAGTTACTTTTATGGGGAAATGTCACATTTACCCTCAACTTTTAGAATAAGACAAAAACTATTAGAGATATAAATGGAAAGAAAAAGTTGAGACAAATCTAAAATCAACAATCACAACAATCTCAACTTTTAGTTGAGATTGTATAATACATCATTTTTTGTGATTGTTGGTGGGACCTACCTAAAACAATGCATGCATTGTTCTACAATTTGGCACTTCCAAACATTGTACTGTGCACAATACATGTATTCAACAAACACAACTCTAACAATCACAACTTCCAAACGACCCCATAGATTCCAGATAACTTTTCATTTCATTAGTTGTCTAACTTAAACATCTTATGGTCAAGTATAAAATAAAATACAAATTCAATAAAATCATAAAGTTAACGAACACTAAAAACATAAACTATCAAAGTATTCTTTTGTACCACCAGTGCACAATACTAAAAATCGAACCATCTACGTTTAACTAAAAAGATATCCAAATGACCACAAACCGGCCAACGGGGGGCCGGATACAACACTAGTACTTAAATAGAAACCCAACGATCAATTCTCTAATACCTATCACTTTTCAATGTTGTTTCAGCATACACATATAATATTAGGGAGTTGCTAAAGGTCGCCCTTAAAATTGCTAAAGGTCGCCCTAAAAAGAATAAAAGTTACACTTTTAACCCCCATAGCTTCTTTACCTTCCCTTCCTCAAACAAACATCACTTGGACTAAAAAAACACTCTCTAAGGAGAGAAAAATCTCTCATCGTCATTTTGAAGCCGATATCGTCGATAGGACGTCTGAATCATGAGTAGCGACTCCGACGAGGTAAGAACATGAACAAAAAAAAAAAAAAAAAACAGAAAATGGGAACCGCGGGTGATTTGCGGTCCGACCATGGTCCAACCGCAAGTGACCTGCGGTTGAACCATGGCTGGACCGCAAATCACCTGCGGTTGAGCCATTGGTGGACCGCAATTGACCTGCGGTTGGACCATGGTCGGACCGCAAATCACCTGCGGTTCAGCCATGGTCCAACCGCAGGTCAATTGCGGTCCACCAATGGCTTAACCGCAGGTGATTTGCGGTCCGACCATGGTCAAACCGCAGGTCACTTGCGGTTGGGCATTTTTTGGTTTTTTTTTTTTTTTTTTCGTTGAATAATTTTTTTTTATATGATTTATGATTGTTCCATGAAATAATTTGTTGGGTTTTGATTTATATAATTTATTAGATTTATTTGCATAATTATTTTTGGAATTGAAGGATTTAGCATTAGAAATTAAGATTAGATTTTTGGAATTGAAGGATTTAGCATTAGAAATTAAGATTAGATTTGGCCTTAAATTAAGATTAGATTTAATTTGGTGTTAATCTAGAAAATTAAGATTAGATTTTGCATTACAAATTAAGATTAATATAATTTATTAGATTTATTGGGTTTTGATTAGATTTTTGGAATTGAAGGAATTAGCATTAGAAATTAAGATTAGATTTGGCCTTAAATTAAGATTAGATTTAATTTGGTGTTAATCTAGAAAATTAAGATTAGATTTTGCATTACAAATTAAGATTAAATTTATTGCATAAATAATAGATTCGCATATGAAGTTATGATGATTATTAATTTTAATACTGATAACATTGCAGGATATTGGAAGTTACAATCCGGATGGCCAT